AAAAGACATTTACTTCTCATTCAAAAGCGCATCAACATAACCTTGAGACATAATGAAAAGCAATCATTTCTACGACCCTGCATACCTCTAAACAGCTTTTGTCAGAATTTGGATATTTTACTTAAGATAGTGATGCATTCATGTTCAGTGTACATTATACTTTCAACATTTCTCTGTCAGGTGAAGTTGCAATGGATCGTCATCACCTTTGTATTAAAGACACAATGTTGCCAGTGACCACGAAATATAAAACAGGTACCACAGCAAAACAGGGACAGCAGACAGACTGAATCACAAGACAAGAAATACCCTTTAGACTACTTGTACCTTCTTAATGGTCTTCTCAATAAGCACGTCTCCAACCGGCATCAGAATACCTCCAAACACGGCCAGCACCGCACCAATGACAGCCCCAGCAATGAGCCCACAATTTCGATCACAGCCCATTTTTTTAATCAGGGAAGAAATTACGGTTCAGCACCTGCTTCTTCCAAACTCCCGTGTCCGATTAGGTGGTTTCAAGAGGGCTGGTTCTAGCATTAGAAAGAGATCATAAAACAGACGCTTAAATAATCAGTATGAGAGATCAAAGTACAAAGAAAACACAATTGAAAAATCATTTTGCCAGTTATAAACAGATGCTTTTTCTTTTTGTTTTACGAGACGGACTTTCTAGGTTAGGCCTTCCCCTTCCTCATTTTCTCGTCTTTTCGGTTTTCTACTGTTGGATGATGAGCATTGATATCTTATCTCAGGAGAACATGCTTGCTGTTCTTCCTGACTCTTCTGCTTTCCTGGGACACTTGGGTGCCTCCTTGTGCTTTATCTGGCTTTGCCTCCCAAACACTGCCACCCACAGCCTGCCTGAAGCTCTCCTGCACATGAGGATATGTGGACTGAGGTCTTCTCTGCCAAATGTTAAGTATGATAACACACACTGTCTTTACTATACCTTATTCACGAGTATAGAGCAAGATACAAATTTTATAGGGAATGTTCTGAGGAGTCTCAGAAAGAATCAATTCTTCTAATCATTCGTAAGCTATCTGTTAAAACAAAAATGCATGGTTAAATTGGGAAAATATGTTGTCAGGAAATTAATACGAGAATACTCTCTCACGTCACCAAAATTATAATCACTACTAAAAGAAAATCTCATTTTCATGAATACTGAAATCATGCCTGAATTTTTTTTTATAAACAATGTTGAAAACGGAAATATTTTAAAGAAGTGTACTTTACTTTCATCATTAATAATTGAATTTTGGATAGACCAAAGGTGTGAAGAATTTAAATACACAAGGTAGAGGATACCTAGTTTTAGTGATAGGCATTGCTTTGTTACTAGTCTCAGAGATTTTTTTTTTTTTTTTTGCATATTCAACTGCAATATTATTTTGTCATCATGGGCATTTGTTTCACACCGATTCTGCTAAAATCAACTAATTTGTGCCTGTATGTATTTCACCTAGTCAATCTTATTTTTGGTATCTTTATACACTATGTGGTTATTTCATAAAAATTGAAAGGAAGTGATTTCTGAAATGAGTGGATTCTATTATAACAAATAAGAATTTGTTTCTTCTAATATTTGAAAACACATTCCTATTTTGGTTGCAACTGTATTTTTTAAGTGGGGCTGACCTGACATTGATAAACAGTCAAAATATGCCTTGTAGCTTAGAAACACATATTCCCTACTGCATTGCCCAAGGCCATGGAAAACATAAATGCCAAAAGAATGGAGACTGCAGACAAAAAAAGTCACACACAAAATATTTTTGCCAACACTGTAAATTCAATAACAAAAATTCTATTTTCTTATGGTCTCGGATTTTCCCTCCACAGTGTTGTTGCAAACAGAAATAATTAGTACTGATTTCCACTGAAGGAGCCATTTGGCTTTTCAAGAATATTACTCGCATAGCTAAGAAAATAAGGAAAATTAGACTTTACCTCAAAATGGAGAAAGAGAAGTGTTACACAATTTTCCCATGGCAATTTTATTTACTTACCTGTACTCTTGCTTATCTTTGTCATCTCCCTTTACCCATGCCTTATACCCTGGATATGTCCACTGTACATCAGGATGCACTGAACTCATTCACATGGAGGTTCTGATGGCAAAGAAGCCTGAATCTATTAGTGTCAAATGTTTTTTTTTCCAATGTAAAAGGAAAATATATAAGCCTAAACAAGTGACTTAGTTTTCCTGTGGACTGGAGTTGGCTTTGTATTAATTGCTTGGGAGTGGAATGTGAAGAAATACTTTCCCCACCCTCTGACATCATGTAACATGCGTGCCATCCTGGTGTTCTGTACACTATGAACAAATAATCATATTCAGGGTAGCTTATCAAGTACTATCTTACTGAATGCTCATTTCAAAGACCATCCTCCAACTCTCATTTGCATGTTACACCTAAAGTAGCCATCCAAATACAGGGATCTAACCTAGTGTAGTTGAGGCTAGTAGACTAGAGATTAAACCAAAAACTGATTTGTGACTGTCTTGCCAGATGACCATGGGCAAACCACTTATCTCTCATACTTCAGTTTCCTCATGTGTAAAATAAGACACTAAGATGAGATCTGCTGTTTTTAATTTAAGTAGCTGAACTGGTTCTTCTTCAGGTTCTTACATGGATGACAAATAGGCAGAGTGACTATGGAGTACAACTGTGGTGCCTGGGATCTCAATTCCCAGCTTAGTCTCCCTACTCCTCCCTAACACTCTCCTCTCCACTTTTCGGAAGCTCTAGGAGAATCTCTATAGGAATCCATGGCTTTGCAAACCCATTTAAAAATTAGTACAGGAAACCCCCAGAGTTAAATTGCAGTTTTCTTTATATAATATCATGAATCTATTTAAAAAAAACAACTCAAATATTAAGTCATCCCTTTGGAAAGTTATTTTACATTCCATATAAACATCACTAAACATCTTCACTAATATTAATGTTATTTGCAACTGTGACAGATGGAACATAAAATGATTTAAAAATTACAATTCTATTATTGCTAAAATAGATATATGTGTATATATTTGCCCCTTTCCAGATTCTATGCCGTAATCAAGACATGAATCTCTCTGACTTTTCCCAGAATTATTCTCCTTTATTAAAGTAGCCCATGTACTAGAGGGAAGGGTTGCTGCAAAGGGCAAAGAGTCCCAAGAATGTCCACTAGAAGACCCAGAGGACAGCATGTGTTGTCCAATGCCTCCCTCTCTGAACTAGGAAACTCATTATTATGACTTCTAAAGACCCTGAGCCCCCAGAGATGTCAAGTAATGGACATGCCTGGGTCCTGCCTAGGCTCTGTCTGCTTTAAACTTAAAACTGAAGTGAGACAGTGTATCCATCCCACTGCTGTTTTGTTAATTTCTTCAGCAAACAGAAGTGTCAAGTAATTTATTCTGTTGAACTCATGGTTAGACAGTTAGTGGAATAACACTGGTCTGGATGACATATAAGGAAAGCTACAAATATTAATCTAACATTACTTCACATGCGTACTAATGTTTTTGAGAGAGAGAGAGAGCGAGAGACTGAGTATGTGTATTTTTTTTTTTTTTCAAATTTTCAACCGATTCATTTTTGGTACTCTGTTTTAAGTTTCCAACTTTTTTCCCCTAATAATAGGCAAGATATTTGACATTACTTGGGTTCATTTATTTTCCTTCAGTGCCTTGATACCATGAGTAATTAGGTATCGTTATTCAACTCATACTTTAACTTTATGCTTCATATTATAAAATTAAAATCAGTCTTATTCACCTGAGGCAAAGGAGGGCCAAACACATTATGTAAGACACACACTGCATACATAAGAGGAAAGTTCAGGTTCCAGCACATTCTATTCAACAGCTTTTCCACCCATGTTTATCTTCAGGAAAAAAAGTGTAGTTCGTCCCCACTCTTCTCTCACATTTAGCATGTAAAGTGTGTGTCTTGCACACTTGGTTTTCTTCATAACCATAGTTCCTTACATATTAAAATAGTAATTTATTTCACTTGCTAATTTTGGATTACATTTTATTATTATTTCTCCTTCATAAGAATAGACAACATATTGATATCTGCAATAATTTACTTCTTGCTTAACATACTTAAATTTAGAAAGCAAAGAATCATCACAGGTACAGGAAAGAAAACTAATGGTTGAGACTTGTCTAAAGAAGAGAAAAGAAAAAGGCATATTTAAAAGTATCACTTATCACATACCTTTCTTGAGGCTATAGGGAGATCAGCTGTATCTTATCAGTTTACAGATTATAAATTCTATTCCTTTTGTAGAATTTGTAAATGTATCTTATTCCCTTGGGTTATCTTTGAAAGAAGAAGAATACAATTTTTCTTTTTATTTTTTTCTTGTCAAATCAAAGGGGTGTTTCCAGAATGAATTTAGGAGCATTACGCCTTTCCACTATGTTGGAAACCTGGTGGTAGAAACTGTGAGACTAAGCTCTAAGAAGCCTCTCCAATAAATAGGTCAGAAAATCAGAGAAAATTCCCAGAGAATCTGTAATTCTTCCCATGTGTGGATAAAGCTGTGTTCCTTGGGAAACTCCACCCAGAAAAAGCATGGACCAGACGTAAAGTTTCCTGGGATGTGAACTGCAAAACTTGAAAAAGTTTCAGATTACAAGAGTATCTGTACCATAAATGAATGCCAGGACCCACATGACATTCTCTTACTCACGAGTAAATAGCTCAGATTTCCTATTCTATCCATAAGCCTTCCTTGCAGGTTTCCTTAGAATAGAAAACCAGACCACACACTTCTGTTTTCAACCACACGTGCACACACACACACTGTTCTTTTGATACACAGCCTTCCTCACCTAATAAATATGTTACCTGCCCACAAAACCCATTTTTGGAGTTTTGGGATGTGATTAATTCAACAGGTTGGATATGAATGATGAAAGTTAGCTTTCAAAATTAGATTCCTTTTCACACTCTGACCCTACACCATGCCTAGGTGTGTTTACAAGCTATGATTTCCTAGACATGAGTATGATGCAGATTCAAATCCACTAGTTGCAATGGATGTAAACCAATAATTTGAATCTGCTTATGTTTCATTATGTGGGAACAGAAGGTCATTAGATCCGTACCTTATAAACTTCTGTTTAGAGACAGAATTCTTTATGTGCAATTCCAATATATAAACATAGCTACAAGAAAAATATCTGGTTAAGGGGGGGAGAACTGTAGCCCTTTCCCCTTCCTGTTGTACTTTACTTGGGCTCTTGAGTCATCCTCACAGAACCCTACCCCTCTGCAGAAAATACTTCAATAACTAGATGAGAAGTTCTCCAATATCTTTTCTTATTGAAGTTACCACAGTCCTTTTTATATGTGCATTTCTATTCTATTAGAATATGTGGGGGTAGGGGCACCTGGATGGCTCAGTCAGTTAAATGTCCGACTTTTGGTTTCAGCTCAGGTCACAATCTCAGGGTCCTGGGGATCAAGCCCCGCACCGGGCTCCACACTCAGCAGAGAGTCTGCTTGGGATTCTCTCTGTCCCTCCCCTTCTGCCCTTCCCCAGCCCCTCTAAAAATCAATCAATCAATCTTAAAAAAAAAATATGTGGAGGTAAAAATATACAATAGAAAAAAATTATAAACATCTATAATATGAAACAATAATACATATCACTAAATTATACTTTTCAAATATTACAATTTAAAACTTGTTTTGGTAGTAAACTTAAATTTAAAAAGTATATTGGACTTCATATGCTATACTAAGGATCTTTCTAGACACAAGCTTATCTTTTGGAGTACTTGATTACCGGAATTACTATAGGTTTGAAGTGATTCTCTTAGAGTCATAGCAGTTTAAATAGGACTGTCTACAGCTTTTCTTGATCTTTGAATCTCACACAGGAATTCTATTTTTTTCCCACCTCAAATTATATTATAAACAGTAAGATGCCATGTGGTTTGCAACGGTTCAGATTCTGGACTTTGAAGTCAAGTGATTTAGATTTAATCTGGGTCTTAATAGGATAGTTTCTTTGTGGCTAAATTTTCTCTAAAATGGCTGTATCACTAATCAAATAAGGTTGTAAATGTCAAAAGTAAATGAGATTATGTATAAAAATACCTATCATAGAAAATGTTATTTTGACATGTTATCATGAAATATTATTTTGAACAACCATACAAATAAACAGTAAAATGTTATTTCATATTGGCCAATTTTTTAATCTAATAAATGTATATAGTGTACATAGATAGAAATGATTATTTGCAAAACACTGAGATGACAATAAAATCTGATGAAATGATTTTTTCTTTTTTTTATCTATAGGAACTTAGAGTATCACAAATGGACAGGTAGTTGCTAGCTTAGGAGATGCTCCTTAAAGCTTTTAGCCATAACTTGGGCCAGTGAACTAAAACACCTTGTGATTATATCAAAAGACAATTACAGAATTTGTTCCTTCGGAAACAAAAAATCCACAAGATTCAAATGTGCTTGAGTAAACAGCGCCAAACATTCTCATAAAAAATAAGGGAGGCAACTATAAATTCCAAACTTTTCAGTACATCCTGTGCAAGTACTGTCCAATTGTAAGGATGATGTTCCTCCCAGGCTAACCTATTATCTGATGATGGTGGATTGGATTCATTGTTCTGATTTAATGATTCTGGTAAATAAAGATTTTCTACTACATATTTTTCTCTCATAAAATCCAATGGACCACTGGATTCTATATAACGAAACCATTTTAAAATTTCATTTTGATTATTTTCTGAACCAATATTGGAAGCAATGCCTCTTTTAGATTCAAAAGACATTACTAATTCAAAACCACATAGGAGAGGACTGAAAATTGCCTGCAAACATTTTAAATATGTCTTTCACTATGTTTCTTGATAATTCCCAAACTGTGTGAGATTCACTCAAGAGAATTTATGCCATTTCCAGTATGAATTAACTTACTGTAATTAAATTGAAACTTTAAATTTTCCCAGAATGATTTATCCTTTATTTAAACTTGGTGTCATCATTCAAGTAAATAATTTACTGATATTTGTAATAAGCTTCCTACAGAGCCAAAAATATTAATTTTGATTTATTTTTATTCTCCTACCTACCAAATTTTACATAATTTACACTAATTAAATCTAGAATCATTGTTTAGAATATAATTTACTGTTCCAAGTAGCAATTATAGTATCTTTGTTCATTAAGAAAAAAAATGCTTAATAAGAACATATCCAAAATAAACATTGCATTTAACCATAGTGACAAAGTTCACCAAAAATTAATAGATAGAAATAATAGATAGAATAGAATAGATAGATAGAAAATTAAACACACTAATGACTCTGTCAGGTAATAAGAAGGTAATTGCAAACTAGAAAGTACATTGACATAAGAGTGGTAAGTCATTTATAACAACGCATTATATTAGTCTTATGATGAATTTTTATTCCTAAATTAAATTAAAAGTCAGGTATAAATAGCCTAAGTGTAAAATGAAAGTTTCACAATAATCAAATTGGATCATAAATCATTTTAAATATTAATAAATGTTTATAGAAGACTTTAAACATCAAAAAATAAAATGCCATTGACCATTGGACAAGGTTTTAATACTCTTTAAACATAAAATGTAGAAAGACTGGTAACTTGGAAAACAACATAAACCTAATTTTTAAATAAAGTCTAATGTCTTTGAAAAAAGTTACAGCTTTTTACTGTTATTGTTCTACAACTCCTTAAGAGTGTTTATAGAGTCGAGGCATCTCCTATCACTTAGGAGATAGAAATCTTTTTTGTTAAAAACAAATCATATGACTTACCTTTAAAAAGGCTAAGCAAGATCTTTCAATCAAAGGCTCAAACATTTGAACAGACAGTTCTTGGTAGGACCAAATGGTATTCTGCAGAAAAACCCTACACTAAAATC